CCTTCCTTCCTTCCCACTTCCCCCCCCCCCCCCCTACCCCGGGCCCTGCCACTCTTACCTGGACCTTAACCTTCACCTCCTCCTTGCACCTCCATTTCCGCCCCCACCATGCCTCCGCACCCCCTGCACCTCCACCTCCTCTTCATCCTGGGCTCTGCTGCCCAGCCACCCCAGGGCTGAGGTGGGCCAAGCACCCACTTCCAGACTGGGCCATGGGCACCTCAAGGGCGTGGGGAGGACCCAGCGCTCCCCCTCCCACCCAGGCATAAAGAGCCACCCAAGGAGCTGGACACAGCCTCGTCGGACGAGGAGAACGAGGACGGAGACTTCACAGTGTATGAGTGCCCGGGCCTGGCCCCAGTGAGTGCCTCGGGGTGCAGGGAGGGGGACCATCTCCGGGGTTCCCTCCCAGCAAGTGTCCCCACCTCACCCGCTGCCGGGCCTGATGCAGACCGGAGAGATGGAGGTTCGCAACCCGCTGTTCGACCACGCCGTGCTGTCTGCGCCCCTGCCGGCCCCGGGCTCGTCCGCGCTGCCGTGACCTGAAGGCGGACAGACGCCCACCTGCTCCCTGACCATGTGACCCCTGGGGGAGGGGCAGGGCCCAGAGCTTCCCACTAAAACAGGTTTTGAGGTTGTGTGCTTGTGGCTGGGCCTCGGGCACCAGGCCCTGGGGCCCCTTGCCAGGGAGACCCCACCTTTGTTCCAGGAGACCGTCTGTCCCCCTGCACCTCTCCTGTTCGGTTTGGACCCCCAAACTGAAGGGGTCAGGGAGAACCACAGAGCCAGGAATGGGTGGGGAATTGTAGGGACAAAAGCCAATTAAAGTCTTTTCAGACCCGCGGCTTCTGTGTGTGTGGCCCTCGTGGGTTAATCCGTCGCCCTCCTCCCCTGTTTGGGGCCCCCGTTGATGGACCCATGAGCAGGGGGCCTGGGGTCTGCTCTTGCACCCCCAGAGGGAGAGTGCATTTCTGTCCCCTAATTAGGAGGACCTTCCCATGGAGCTGGAGGAGAGGTCACGGGATCATCCCCCAAACCTAGCTAGGCCTCACCCCTGCTCCGCACACCCTTCTCTGCAAGTGGGAGATCTGGAGCCCAGGGAGCACAGGGCTGGGTCTTCCCGGAGTTGGCCGTGACAGCCCCAAAGACCCCATCCTGTGTGATAGAGAGGACTGGAGCAGGGGTCGGTCCACACACACGTGGACGTGGGCGCTGCCACCTCTGGGCAGATGGGAAAGGGTGCAGACATGGAGTCTGGGTTTCTCACGGGGACCAAGGACTCCAGGCCTGCAGCACATGGAGGAGGAGCGCCAGGCGGAGGCACGTGGGTGACCCCAGCTGTGCACAGCCAGGTGGCAGGTGAGGGGTGTGATGGCAGGGGTCCTGGATGCCTGGAGCTGGGGTTTGGCCCGCCACTCCCAAATGTGGAGGTGCAAGAAGGCCCCGAGGGAGGGAGGGCGACAGTGTGGTCAAAGGTGCCGGGATCTGGCCGGCACTGGGCCAGGGTGCGGGGCTGAAACTCCGTCCCACTGAGGCTGGGGAGGGAGGAGGATTGAGCTCAGAAGCTCCTTTGTGGCTGTTAGGAGCTGGGAGACAGCCCTGGTGTTCTATTAGTCAGGGTTCTCTTGTTTTATTTTTACTTATTTATTTTTTAAGACGGGGTTTCACTCTCATTGCCCAGGCTGGGGCTCAATGGCGTGATCTCGGCTCACTGCAACCTCTGCACTCTGGGTTCAAGCGATTCTCCTGCCTCAGCTTCTCGAGTAGCTGGGATTACAGGCGCATGCCACCACACCCAGCTAATTTTTGTATTTTTAGTAGAGACAGGGTTTCTCCATGTTGGTCAGGCTGGTATCAAACTCCTGACCTCAGGTGATCCACCTGCCTTGGCCTCCCAAAGTGCCGGGATTATAGGAGTGAGCCCCCGCGCCTGGCCGGTCAGGGTCCTCTGAGAGAAACAACTAATAGGATTGATACATGTATAAAGGGGGGCTGGGTGCAGTGGCTCACGCCTGCAATCCTAGCACTTCGGGAGGCCAAGGCGGGCAGATTGCCTGAGCTCAGGAGTTCCAGACCAGCCTGGGCAACATGGTGAAACCCCATCTCTACTAAAATACAAAGCCTAGCCTGGCGTGGTGGTGTGTGCCTGTAATCCCAGCTACTCAGGAGACTGAGGCAGGAGAATCACTTGAAATTGGGGGGCAGAGGTTGCAGAGAGCCAAGATTGCGTCACTGCACGCCAGCCTGGGCGACACGTATAGATGGGAGTTTATGAAGTATTAACTCACACGATCACAAGGTTCCACAATGGGCTGTCTGCAAGCTGAGGAGCAAGGAGAGCCAGTCCGAGCCCCAGAACTGAAGAACTTGGAGTCTGATGTTTGAGGGCAGGAAGCATCCAGCCCAGGAGAAAGATGTAGGCTGGGAGCCTATGCCCGTCTTGCCTTTTCACATTTTTCTCCCTACTTTATATTCGCTAGCAGCTGATTCGATGGTGCCCACAAGATTAAAAGTGGGTCTGCCTTCCCCAGCCCACTGACTCCAATGCGAATCTCTTTGGCAGCACCCTCACAGACATACCCAGGACCTATAGTTTATATCCTTCAATCCACTCAAGTTGACAGTGTTCACCACCACACTTGGCATGGGGAAAACGGGCCCACTGGGCACAGCCAGGTCCCTGGAGAAAAGGTGGGCCAGGCAGGCTATGGGAAACGGCCCCCCCCTGCTGGGGGTGACTGGCTTAGCCAGTATGTTTTGGGGGCCAGAGCCTGCCCAGACCAGGAAGCCACCTTGCCCCCAGTTCACTCCTCACCGGTGACCTTGGGCTGGCCTTGGGCTGGGAGCCTTCATGGTCCTCTGGGCAGTGCTGTGATGGGGCCTGGTGTGACAGCTGCCTGCTTGTGGGCCCCAGTGTGATGGGTGCCTGTGTGCATGGAGCAGAGTGCATGCGGAGCCCGTGTGGCATGCCCATGCCCACCATCCTTCACTCCAAGCCATTAGCCACAGGGAAAGCAGGCAGGTGCAGAGGCCCGGGCACCTCAGGTCAGCGTCTGGCTCAGGCCGGGGTGTCACTGGCTGGGAGGCTCCCCTGCAGCTCCACGGTCAGTCCCTGGGGTCACAGCACTCACGTGTCCTCCTGCTGGCCTCTCGGTGTGACCCATCCTCTTGTTCTGGGGGTCCCCAGCCTATCCCTAGGGTCCCTGCAGCTCACTCTCTCAGGTCTCAGCAAGGACTCCCTCCCTCCCAGGGCAGCTGCATGAGAAAGGAGCCTGAGGGCCTAAGCTGGGGGAGGTTGGAGGCGGCTGGGGTCCTCTGGTGGGCACGCCCTCATGCAGCTCAGCACCCTGCTCCCCACTCACCTTTTTGGCTTTTTTTTGAGAGTCTCACTCTGGCACCCAGGCTGGAGTGCAACAGTGCTATCTTGGCTCACTGTAAGCTCCAATTCTTGGGTTCAGGTGATTCTCCTGCTTCAGCCTCCTGAGTAGCTAGGATTACAGGTGCATGCCACCGTGCCCAGCTAGAGTGTGTATGTGTGTGTGTGTGAGACGGAGTCTCACTCTGTTGCTAGGGTGGACTGCAGTGGTGCAATCTTGGCTCACTGCAACTTCTGCCTCTTGGGTTCAAGCAATTCTCCTGCTTCAGCTTCCCAAGTACGTGGGATTATAGACCTGCCACAACACCCAGCTAATTTTTGTATTTTTAGTAGAGATAGGGTTTCACCATGCTGGCCAGGCTGGTCTCAAACTCCTGGCCTCAGGTGATCAACCCGCCTCGGCTCCCACAGTGCTGGGATTACAGGCGTGAGCCACCGCGCCCAGCCTTTTTTTGGCTTTCATTGGCCCCCAGCCAATTCAGACAGCCTTCAACTTTGTCCAAGCTCCTGCCCCTAGCCATCAGGAGTCCCCCTGCTCCCATAGACCCCAGGCTGTGGGTGGGCTGCCCTGGGGTCCCCAGGGACTCTGGAGACCCCAATCCTGGGCATCAGGCCTGGCTCAGCCTTCCCAGGGGCCCATTACTCACTTCCTTTCCACTTTGCCTTCTGCCGTTCCTGCCCCTGTCCCAGGGCCCTTGCAGCAGCGAGAGACATCCCACCATGGCTGCTGGCTGGACTCTGAGCCCTGAGCCTGCTGACCCTGGCCCGGCAGCCCAGCCCCTCCACTGCTTCCCCAGGACGCCCAGCGGGGCACTGATGTGTGTCTGTTCTTCCAGCCTCAGCCACTTCCCGCCTGGTGCCCTGCCCACACCTGGTGACTTCCCAAGCACAGATGCCCAAGGGTGATGTGCGCAGACCCTGGCAGAGACTCTGGGGTGACACTCCTCTGGTCGGAGATGCCCCCGAGCCAACAAGATGTTGGGGCAGGACCATGCTTGGCCCAGAATGTGGGGTGTGTGATCCCCTAGCCAGCACCCTAGGAAGTGGGGACCTCCCCAGCATCTGGTCCTGGGGGGCGATCTTGTTCCCCAGCCTGCGTGGCTGGGTGGGCCGGCCCCAGGTTCAGGGCCCCGGGTCGCAGCCCTCCCGCACAGCCACGCAGCACAGAGGAGTGGGTATTGCTGCAGAACAGAAGGGATGGGCAAAACTTGGGGTGCAGAGTGGGTCCCCACCTGGCAGCTCCACCTGGAGGCGAACAGGGGCACAGACATGATCCCCCCACACCCTGGGGCTTGATGGGACGTGAGTGGAGGGGAGGGGCTGGGCTCACCTGCCCCTCGGCCACCTGCCAGGCTCCATGCACCCACCCGCTTTCCAAAGGCGGGCTCAGAGGGGCTCCCCAGCCCCCAGTTCCCCCCTGTCGTGGAGAATCAAGCGCAGTTTGTGTCCTCCCTGGAGCCATGCAGCTCTGCAGCAAGCCGCCAGGGGGCGCTCGAGACGCACCTTGGGACCAACCTGCTCAGCAGGTGGGCAGGCAGGGGACAGCCAGGCTCCGCCTGCTCCCTGGGGGCCTCTCGGGCTGGGGCTGGGTGCCCTTGCTGATGCCCGGGGGGCCGCTGTCTGCAGAGGGTAGCTGGCCAGTGCCCTGCTCTTGGTTGGGAGTGGGGCCCATGGGTGGAGGCCTCTTGAGGGGGGTCCGCCGGGAAGCTGGCCCACAGCAAAGGCTCAGCTGGGCAGAGCGTGTCCTGACCATCGAGATGCTCACAGGCCACGGGGCTGGGGTTGGTGCCTGCCTGTGTCCTCACCAGCCCGGGGAGTCGGGAGGCCTGGGTGGAGAGAGAAGAGGAGCCCCCCGCCCCCCGACTTTCCCTTTGACTCATGCCCTTTTCTTTCCTTTAAGAGGCTTTCGTTCTGACCCATTTCTGAGCAAAACCTCTGAGCCCCATTTGCCAGCTCGCAGGTTCCCACGCACAACGGGGCCGCAAGGTGGCCACCCTGCCCGCGGCCCTCAAGGAGGAGCATGCTCCGCGGGGAGGGCAGGGGAGGCTCCTTCCAATCCACCCAGGAAGGCAGCAGGCTGTGGCTGCGGCAGAGGCACATGTCGAGGGCCCCTGGCAGCACAAACAGGAAGGACAGCGGGCTCCAGCAGCCAGAGGCTGGGCCACCCGCGGGCGCGGGAGGACGGCCTCCTTCCTGTGGGAGCTGCCACCGGGTGCCCGTTGCAGGGAGAAGAGAAGGGGCGGAGTGAGGCTGAAGCCCGGGTGTGGCTCTGAGGAGAAACGCTGCGGTGGCATGAAAGTCCCAGGTGCCCCTGTGGGCATCACCCAAAACAGGGCAGACTGGAAGGGTGGGGCTGGCGGCACTGCCCACCCTGGTGCCAGCCCTTGAGCAAAGCAGCTCCGGCGCCAACAGTTTCCCTTGGCGCCCTCGGCCCCCCCCGCCCCGTCCTCAGCCGTTACACAAGTTCCGCAGCACAGCTCAGCTCGGTTACGCTGTGCCACAGGGGTGGGGGCCTCTGAGGAGCCAGCCTGCCACCCTGTCCCGGGCCTGCCTCTGTCCTCGCAGTGGGACTGCTGCCAGCTGTCTGGTTCCCCTCCCAAGGCAGCCTGGTCCTCACTGTGGGGCGGGGAGAGGCCGGCAGCCCCTGGAGCCTGAAACGGGAGCAGGACAGGGGCAGGGGGTGGGTGGGAGGCAGTCCCCTCAGAGGGTGTGGGGGCAAAGGCCAGGACGACCTTTCATGGCTGCCGTTCCTCCCAGGAGACACGATCTGAGGCCCCAGAGGACCTGACAGGACAGGCACGTCCCACTCAGGGAATCCCAGAGCTTTGGGATTCCAAGGTGGGAGGATTGCTTGAGCCAGGAGTTTGAAACCAGCCTGTGCAACATAGTAAGACTCTGTCTCTACAACAAAAATTTAGAAGTTGGCCGGGCGCGGTGGCTCACGCCTGTAATCCCAGCACTTTGGGAGGCCGAGGCAGGTGGATCACGAGGTCAAGAGATCGAGACCATCCTGGTCAACA